TATATATATATATATATATGACTTTTTTTAACACCAAAAGGAAATTCATAACAGACCACTGGGGTGGATCAAAAATAATAACTTCAAGCGTCGGGTAGAATTGATAATGACAAAACTATCAAAGAACTCAATTAGTGTCCTTGCTGCATCACTAATCACTAATCTTGATTGATGTATTTTCAAATCCCAAGTGTACAATAAAAAAAGAAATCCCACCCATTTAGAAAACGCTACCACACCATCTCTTTTATCAAACCATAATGCCATGTTACATAATAAGTTGCAATTGTTAAAAAAAAAAAAAAAATCTCCTGTGGGGATTGAACCAACCTCCGCCAAATCCACATGGTTATAACATAGTAAAGACAATAGATGTGCCTGTAGATAGCACTGTTGACGAGTGTGATGTACGAGGGACGGTTTGCTTCGCTATAATAGGCCGCGGGGTGTTAAAGCTCTCAGACTCCCAGCAGCCTGACATCAGTCTGGGCTCTGTCTCATTGTCACAAATCCCTCAGTGTCCCCTCACCTCTCAGAGCAGAGACTCTCTGACAGCTACTCAGCTCTTCCACTGCACCCATCATTGATACTAACGGGGACAGAAGGCTGATGTGGGGCATCGAGTCAGCTGCAGTTCGCTTGTGTGTGTGTGTGTTTACTGGGGATGGGTTGGTCGGTTAGGGTAGTTTCAGTAAGGAATGCAGGGATTACACAAGTGCAGCATGTGTGCTTGCTCTGTGGCACAGAGATCAATTTATGTCCCTGCGGCAAATGGCATGACAACCGGTCTCCTCCCCATCACCATCTGCCTCCTCGATACCAATTTGTCGCAGAACATCCGACTGTGGCCGTGCCCTCATTTAACTCACAGGAGAAGTTTGACGGAAGGAAAGGAAAACGGGAGAAGACAAAGAAACCCCGAGCGACGATAAGTACGATACTGTGAGCGGTCGACAGTTGTTTACAACAAATACTGCCATAGAAACAGAGCACAAAACTTGTATAGTTAGAGCAAACTATGATCGAGCAAGAAATATGTGTTCTCCATCCTCAGCTGGGCTAATGTTCGTAGATAAATATTTAAAGTGCAGCACTGGAGGCAGATGATCGGCTGAGGTAACCCTCGGAGGGAGCAGTCAAAAGTAGACGAGATTTAAAGTTTGCCAGTTGCATAATTAACTTTTCTAGCGCTACCGATAGAATTCATAAAACTCTTCCAAAGTCAAATTGGAGACTATTCCAACATCTCACTGAGTTTTACCATCACCTTGGCTTACTTTCCAACATTCTTCAGCTTTATATGTATCCCTTTGCTAAACCATCCTGATGTACATCTTTGCAGTTTTTCTGCTGTCAGTTAGCTTTTTCACTTTATATACATTAGAAATACAGATACATTTCTCCATCTGGTTTAGATATCTAAAGGTACATCTCTGTACTTTCTGACTAACTCTTGCTTGTTCGTGCAATTATATGTCGACCATCTGCCTACATCTCTACCAATTCTAGCCCTTTTGCCTAACTGTTGGCTGTGTTGTGGATGTTTTTGCTAGAAATTGTTTCCCTCTAGTAATATGTTGATTAACTTTTTTAGGTGTATTTTGTGTTGCAACTAACATTGGCCATTTATGATCCTTTTTGTGTTATTCTAGTCATTGTTGCCTTAGGCTGGGCAATATAACTACATTTTTTACTGGATATCGAATGAGACTACGTCATTCATACAACAATATTCAATATTCAGTCACTTGTCCCAAAATACACAATTTGATTGATTGAATGTCTGTACAGTGCGTCTGTTTCAGGCTGTTTCCCATTTATCCATTCCAACTACACCGAGATTTACGAAAAAGCTATACAGATATGACTTATAGACTATATCGGCCAGTACTCTTCAAGATTTTACGAACCACTAGTACCCTTCCTGATGCAGGCTAACATGCCAGAGTATCGTCCTCGCAGACCAAAAAGATCAAGAAAGTGCTCTTATTAATTTTTGAAAAATATCTCAGACAAACTGAGACAACTGCAGTCACAGAGCAGCAATGAGAGAACTCACAGACTCTTCCACAGAGAGCACCTAACTGTTCCTGAACCACACACTCAGCCCTTTACACTTTCTGAATCCGTGCCAAAAGACGTGTAAATGTAGGTGTGATATACGCCACGGTGTAAAGTGCTTTGAGTGGTCCCATAGACTCCACAAGGACTGTATTAATTCCGTCAATTTACCATATGTCATAATGCTTCTTTATACAGTCACGAAGAGATTCGTGAGCGTATAAAGAAGGGATGGGCTATAAAAAAGGTTTTGTTCCTCACAGAAAACAAGAATGAAGCATACCAACTTATAAAATGTTATGCCTCGCATCAAATTATACAGTAAAGAGGTGGGAAGAATTTGATGCTGTTTTTTGGTACAAAAGATCTGTTCACCCATTCAAGTATTTGGGGCATGAACAAATGTTCATACATCTAAACTATGCATCACAACTTAGCTTCATACTTTAGTGGGAAGGACACAGTGCCTGCATTGTCAGGAGAGTGGGTGACAAGATATGAAAGCAATGCCACTCATTCCTCTCTCTGCCTCCATCGCGCCGAGTCTTTCTCTGCTGTTCTTTGGCATAATAATACCCACCATTCAACTCGGCGGTCTGATCGTGTTTCACGCCTTTGCAGCCACACTGACTGCTGGTTCTGTCCCATTTCACCCACTTTGACACGTCTTTGTGTCATCAATAATGACAGGCAGAGAAACCACTGCTAACATTAGGGCCTTGGTGCCACCATGAGGGATCTGCTTCCAAAATGAAAAAAACAAAACAAAAAAATAACGAAACATCCTATATGGACTCGCTCCTAAAGAAGCTGTCACATATTGTTTTTCCACTGTCAGCAGAAAGGTGTGTTAAAGTGGTGGCCTGTCTCTGCTTTTGAACAAGATTTTCAACGCTAGCTTCTCTCTCTCTCTCTCTCTCTCACACACACACACGTGCATGATCGACCAAATGAGAAGGGGAGATCGTGGTACAAAGGTGGTGCTTTGAATGCAGAGACGGTCTGACCTGAGCTTTCAACACTGTTCAATTGCTGCAACAGAGAGTTGGTGGAGACAAAAACAGCCGTGTTTACCTGAGAGGGTAAAGCAGAACAATGACCGACAGCAGTCTGTTTGTCACGCTGGAAAAACACTCTGTAAAACGGAGTGTACTCATTCAGTTATGGGTGTGAAGGAGGGAGAGTCATTATGTGACTGTAAGAGTATTAGCCTCACTGGGCGTGTGTGTGTGTGTAAAATGACTGTACACGTCATTTTCTACATTTGTCTTGTTAATTCATGGCAAGAACAAAAAAGCAGTTGAGCTCATTTAAATGACTCATGGTTGGCAATCATAGAGAAAATTGTAAAAAAAAAAAAAACAACGTGCAAGGTGTGGAAAACTGTATGCACGTCAATATTTGATTAAGTCTGACTAGTCATATTTAGTTGTTTTTTTGGAAAAATCAAACTCTGTCTTTTAAAAAGAAACAAATGAAAATGAACGATGAAAATGAACCTGCCTTTACTATCGCAAAGTCTTACTGACATTAATTATGAAATCTGTGAGGACCACCAGCTGCAGCTGTTCCCATCTTTGAGCATTTTAATTAAAAGGAAAACAACAATAATTTATTGGTTTACTAACATACTTCATCTACTAAAAAGCTTTATCTAAATCATGTTGTAGCACAATGCAAATAGCAAATACATACAACGGTTGATAGGAATTCTTTTTTTTTTTTCTTCTAAATTTCCATTTATTGGTTTTCCTGCATTGATTTATAATCATTCAAGAGTCATGAGGCAACAGAATATTGATTTTCTTCTCTCCCACATTATTAGGCATAATTGAATGATATGATAAAGGTATTCCTTCTGACCAAGAAAAATTAAATTTAAAATGTAATTAAATAATTTTGTATATGTTTTCAAATATCTTTTCTTCTAAAACCACTAAAGAAAGCAATTAAAGCAGAAAAACAAAACTAAAGGGCAACTGGTTTGAGAATTGCGTGCAAAGCCAGTCAACAGGAAGAACAGGAATCACGAGTGAACTTACAGACGCGTTGTGTTTGTCACGCACAACAAGCTTTCGATTACTTTGGCTCCTCCCACTTCTGTTGGGAAACGACCTCAGTGAGGGGCAGTTTTAGGAGTTCGGAGCCGAAGTCGATGAGAGTGTTGGGGACCAAGGCCCCCCTGGTGATGTTTTCCCCTCTGGAGACAATCAGTCTTCAGTAAACTTCCTGTGGAATGAGAGAAAAATAAAGCATGAGAATGAAGAACACAAGATCAGCAGCTGCAATGAAACTCCCGTAGGGGTCTGGACCTTTTTTTTTTCAGCTTAAATGAGGCCAGTGACCTACAAAGCCCATATGGGGGGACTCTATGTCCTCTTAGTGTAATCTCCTCAGTCACCCGGCTGTCATAACATCGCAGCTAACACAAGCACAGAGGCAGTAAATAGAGACAGATGTGCTGAGTTACAGGCAACATGGCAGTGATAAGAAAACAGCCTCTGGGCTGCAGAGGACACTGCAGTTAAATATTTGTGTGCATCTATTTTTTCCTCCCCCTTTTATATTATTGAAAGCATTAATATCAGTGCGTGTTTACTGAAAAGCAACACAAACATGCTGTGGGTTCACGATTATACAATTTTTATGTCCAGACTTCCTCCCACTCTCCACACGCCTTCCAAGTGTCAGCTATCAAGCAACAGACAGATTCACCAGAGGGTGTAATATGTCTGTTCTTATGGAAAACTGTGTGGGCACACACAAATTGTTGATACAACAATATGCCATTTATGTTGAACTTAAACCAAACGAGGTGTGGCCTCACTTGGAGCTGGTCAAATGGACAGAGGGATGCACCAGAAGAGCAAGGACGGATGTAAATGACAGATGTTCCCACATAATCTATCGCTAGAAGGCTTTGCTCACGCTGACACATATTTTATTGTTTCATCAGTGGACTATTTCAAGCTGCTATCTTTTTGTTTATAATACTGGAAAACTAATGATCAGTTTAGGTCTTACTAATTTTAATGTAGAAAATAGGAGAATGTAGTCTACATATAAATAACAAATAACCTACTTTCAAATAATAATCAACAAAAATGCTACAATTTAACAAAAAACACTAAAAACAAAAATTAAATAATCCAAAATATTATAAGAAATACACTCCTAATAGAAGATTTCTCATTAAAATGCTTATAGTGGGTGTTTGGTAGTTAGCCCTTTAAATATATGAAACAAAATGCAAAAAGAAAAAGAGGAACATGAAATGTTCCCCCCTGATCAGAGTTTGGTTATATTAGAGCAGGGGTCACCAACGTGGTGCCCGGGGGCACCTGGTAGCCCCCATAAGGTGCCCGCGGGGTATGTCCTAAAAATCAAACTAGTCAACAAGAGGGTCAACAATTGTATTGTTACTGTGCTTTTTGAATCAGTTCCACCTGCAATGATATTCAAATGGTTCAATGACGATGGTAAGAACAGTGTCTGCTATTGTATGTCCCAGGATTAATTATTGTTAAATTGTTTCCGGGAGTTTGTATCAAACAAGTAGCTCTTTGTATTACTAAGTGATCTTGAAGTAGCTCTCAGTTTCAAAAAGGTTGGTGACTCCTGACTTAGAGTAACGCCGATTAATCAAGAATAACCAATTAAACAGTTTCTCCTCACAGACTTTCCAGAAGATATCCTTCTTCATTTTAACTACGTGAGCTCTCTATATCTCTGTGAACATTTGTAAACTTTCTGCTTCCACCTAGAGCTGCTCCGGGCTCCCTGGGGACTCGTTCTCTGGGCACAGCTGGGGCTTAAACCGGCACCGCTCTGTTGTTAGCAGACCTCAGCAACAAATGCAGGGTCATACTTCTTTAACATGGCCACGCCCACAGAAAGCAATTACACCAGGAGTATCCAAGACAGTTGAAATTCAGCAGGTAAAGCAAGTTCAGCAGCCCCCCCTCACCCTCCTCCAAAACAACACACACTCACAGACTGGGAGTCTCTAATGACCAGAGGTGACTAATAAGAACTGGATTTCCTGTAACCAGGGTTGCCTTGGACTGAACAGACATACCTTTTCCTCCCTACACCCACACAAGGGCACTTCAGGTTTTGGAGTTGGGGGGCTGGCTGGGGATTGTGACCACAGAGTAATGCCACACATCTTTAGCTGTGGATACAGCATGTTCAGCCTGCAGACTCTGTTGCTAAGTGCAGCAGATAAGCTGCAGCCGCGTCCCCAGCGAGGCAGCTGACTGCAGCTGCTGTGAGCTCAACGCCAACGACTCCCACCGATGCCTCATAAAACCACTGAGGGCCTGTAAATAATTTGCAGCCATCTGTAAATTAAACTGAATGTTGTGAGGACTTTGGTATGCTTACTCACAGTGGCTCAGACCTGTGTCGTGTAGAAAACAGTGGAGCAATGTAACATTCTGTAACTGTAACTCTACTCATTTCCTCTCTGGATGAAACAACACGGTGCATTTAACCTCAATGATTTTGGTGTTGTTTTTTTGTAATGTATCAGTGCTTGAAAGGCTGCCAGCTAATGATCATCTTCATCGTCAATAAACCAAATGAGGCAGTTACTGCTGAATTTAGAATATAGTGATTGACTCACAACGGTTTCCAAACGCCGAAGGTAAGAACCAATGGACTGAACAGAAGACGGTACTTATTCTTTCAAGTAATTTTTAAACTGTAGCTCACTAGTTTACAAATGAGACATGAACCTAACTTGAGAAAACCCAAGGACATGAGAAAATATTTTCATGTGGAACTGGATATAACTGGCACAAAAGGGTTACTCCTGCCCACTAACTATCACAGAGACCAACTCTTGGTCATTTGCTGAGTAACATTATTATGAGCAACTGTTGAAATAGAACACAGACTGTGTTTCTGCTCGTTGAGAACCATAACAATATCAAAACTATTTCGCTTTTTTTGTGGACCAGTGCTTAATTTGAGGTTAAGGTATTAGTTAACGAGACAAGAAGGTGAAATTAATTTCAGGAATATCAGTCCGGTTGCTCACGTAATACATGAAAGCTGAAGGCTAGTGTTCCAGTGATAGTTTCTCGGAGATACAGTGATCACTGTTTCGCCTTTTGTTGGTGGCAGACTATAATTTGTGATCTCATTTTCTGGAAATGGTCCCACAGAGAGGCCTGTGATCTTACCATAATAGTTTTGAAGTGAGCCCCATTAACCAAATGGTTTTTTTAGAGCACAGTATTCGCATTAACAACAGTCATACAATACCTCATCGCCCTCTTAAGTGTACCAGGAGTTTTCCTCCAGACCAGGGAGCCAACATGACAATTTAGGGTTTGAGCATCCATTGGACCTTTCCTGAGCAGAGTTGGCAAAATTCTTCACCAAACTTCCCCCAAAACCACTCCTAGGAGATTAAACGCACAAAACAACATATCACACCCCCACGACTGTAGGTATATCCATGCAGCTCATGTGGAGCTCACTGAGTTGTGGTAGTGATCAATGGCCCCTGGCAGCAGACGTCAGGGGGGCCCTGCGCTCCAAGAACGGAGGCATTAATAATGTAATGCCTGTCATATCCTCCATTAGCAGAGAGGAGGCAGGAGGCCCAACGGGTGATTGATTACTAATTAGATTAATTGCAGCTTTTTTTTAATTTATTTTTTAAAGTGTGTTAGACTGGGAAGCTAAGAGTTCAGGGGTTTAAGAAGCTTGGCTGATTGAAAAAGGTTCCAAAGGACTGTTAAAAAAGTTCACATCCATGAAGGTACAAACGACCCCTGTTTGTCAGACCAGACCAAGGAAAAAAAACTGAGAAGTGAGAGGTTGGAAAGAACATTGGCTTCTTATAATTTAGGTTTTATATGCAGGGTGTTATACTTATGATATCATTGACATCTTGTCATTAAGGTCAATACATTTTCTAGGGCCATGAATACGTGCATCTGGACTCACACCCATGCCGCTGGGCTGGAAAACCGACTATCTACTCGCTGATCAACGACAAATTTATGAACATGTGCACTGTTCAAATAAAGCGATGTTTACGACACTAATTATTCTTTCAATATTCAGCAAATTGATTTGTCCATAGTTTAAAATGACCCATGAAAATCCATTACTGGCTGTAAGTGTCACAGTGGCATAATGAGCGTCATGATAAATGGGATGGGTTTATAGTGCATTTAGAGTATAGATCAGGACCTACAAGGCAGTCCGGTGGTAGATTTAATAATCTTAGCTTTAGTTTAATATTAATAAAATCCTCATTTTTACAACTTTGGTTGTATAATTTACATATGGAAATAAATATATAATCAAAAACGGCCATTAAAATGGAAAACCAAAACCACTGAAGTCTGATATCAACAATGCCGCCTCAATTATTTCTGTCCAAATCAGGTTTTCATTACCACCAAGTGGCGAGGCAGGCATGTCAGGCATTCTGAGAGCTGGACTAATTGGCACATTGGTATGACTAGACTCATTATACAAACCCACACTCAGCATAAACAGCCTCACATTTGAGGGGATAACGCTTCCAAAAGAGGGAGCTTATTTGACTATGCAACAGCAGACTTATTCTTCCATGATGTGTGCAGTAATATATTTTGGATGGGTATTGTATTGTATTGTCTTTTACATGTCACTTATTTCAGGAGATGCTAAAAACCCTGAAACTTTTTTTCAAATCAAGTTAACATCCTCGGATTCTGGACTTTCTTCGTCACGTTTTAACCTCTGACATCACTGGAATCTCTTGATGCCCTTTGCCAACATAAGTTTGGTTCTTTTGGTTGACGGTCTTTATGTTAGACTGGGTCTTGCCCCCATTTTTGACAGTGAGGAGGGACACTATGTTTTCTGCAACAAATGAGTTCTTGAGGGGCAGTCAGTACCGAGTGGAATATTAGAGCTATAAATAATTCCGCTCTGCCAACCAGCTGGGAGGCAGATCGCAGTCAGTCCTTCACATCTGACAGCCTTGATCTCTGCTGGGCTTCCAGGACTACTGCAGAGTTGTTTGACAGCCATTACTGAAATCTGTTGGATAATCATCCAGAATGTTGAATATAGGGAACAAAATTCATAAAAAAATATGAGATGTTATGTCTTGGGGGGTAACTTTTTGGCTAAATTACTGTCCTATGCTGTAATAAGCAGTCACATTGCCTTTGCAGTCCCTGCGTCTCCTCATAAACGGTGGGATATAAGATGCAAGATGGGTGGGTCGGGGAGTCTTTTTGTATCGACTTTTGGACTTCTATCAGACAATGAAATTAGTTCACTGCCCCATAATTACATCCCATTATCTACATTAAGTAATATTGTTAACAACAGTTTCTGGTCAGGAGTTCTATGTATACATCATGGCCTCTTGGTCATGTAATGTTCGAATATGGGATAGATTAAATAATAGTTAAAATTATTTTATGTTTTCAACTTCAAGGAGTTTCTAGATTGGAACATTCTGCAGCTTACAATAGCAAACATGCTGTCAGATTTTGCCTCGTGCACATCTTCATTGTTCCAATTACAGCCCTACACTCCTCCTCCTCTGAGCACCCACAGCTCACCTCGGTGACATCATGCTGTGCTAATTGAAAATGACCCTGACTCGTCCTTTTTGACAAGCGATTTGGCTGATATCCTGTTGTTTCCGCCGCCGCTGGTGGTTGACAACTGGCCTTTTCTGCTGTGGCATTGTGCCTGGTGATCTCTGCCCTCGGCTCGTCAGTGTCTCTCCCTCAGCTAATACAAAGAAGAGAACCATTCCAGGAACAGTGAAGGGGAAAAGGCAAACAAGCACCTTTATCTTGTACAGTGCACTTCTAAAGTGCACAAGGAATTGTTCTTCTGTTGTTGGTGATAATGAGTCCTCCAGAGGGTACTATAGTAAAAAAAAATAAAACTTGCTGGTAATTTGAAAGCTTTGTAAACATGACCAATGCACGCGTTTAAGCAGTACAGAGATGTAAACAACTTCAAATTCAATACAAAGATGCAATCATTCCCATTTTTTGTTTAAAA